GAGAAATGAAATTAAAACAGAAACCGGAGACAAACCTCAAAATGTACCATCGCGCCGTACTAACTCAGCTTACGGAGAAAAAATTTTGATACGCTGGCAAAACCAATTATTTCATGGGAATGCAGCTTGCGGTTCATTTAACGCAACGTGGCTACCTGATATTTTATATAAAATTGTCCACCGATGTGTAGAGGGTTGAATCAGTTGCGGTCGCAGTGACCGCACTGGCCACCGACATTTCACCAACAACGTTCACTTTTTTCAACTCTCATGTTACGCTAAAGGATGCATTCATTCGATCATTGATAATCTATCGCATTACATATTATACGCGGCAGATGCGATTTCTTCCTTTACCGATTCCCTCATAAACTGAATTTGAACATGGAAACGGTAATGATTATTATTCCAGCAGTAGCGCATATCCTTTTTTATACACGGAAAGAATGATTCTGCTCAAATATCTGAAAATTTAAGTAGATACAGAGATTTGAAAATAACTCTATATAACTATTAAAATAATCTGAGAGGGGATAAAAAAAGCCAATGTAAGTCGTCACTGGATGTTTGTATGTGGATACTTTCTTTATTAGTAGTTCAATTCAGATGTTTCGATCTTTTTTAATGTATAGATAAAAGTCAATATAAAATTGGAAAGAAAACTTACATTGGCTTTTTCACTCCCTCTCAGATTTATTCTTTGTAGCTTTCACATCATTTACTTTATTATTAAAATAATTTGTGAAGGTATGACAAGAGTTTAAATATAACACGGGCAACATTGCAAAAAGTTTTAACATTTTAACAATCAGCTTGATCCTATATTTTGACAGCTCAACAAAATTATTTTTAAATGTGTATCTAATAGCTAAATTTTGCAGCAAATTGTTCTTTCGATTGTATAAGAATATAAGGTATTCTATTCCCAAGGATGTACAGTCTGGAACATGGTAATTGCTATTTGACCAATCAAAACATTACCATAAATTGTAAAAAGGTATATGATTGCTACTATTCCATTAATTTTGGAGGAATTTTGATTGGTTGTTTTAATTTAATCTGCCGCCATTATGCGCAATGGAATACTTTATATTCATATACCATGGTTCTTCCCGTGTAAAATACCGTTTCTCCAAAATTTCATATATTTTTTCGTTAAAATAATCTATATTTCCATATTTTTGCATTAGAAATAAAATGACTCATTACAGACGGATGTTGAAATATCAATATTTTATTTGCTTTTAAAATACACTTTTCAATGACAAACTCAAGCCTGAAAATGCCAAGAATGGATCGACTTAATCTTGCACGAAGTTAGATTATCATCACATATTTCCTCTTTATTTTTGTAAGATCATTTGATTGACGCTTAAATTGAGTTAAACGTGAATCGGAACGTTTATACGATTGCGATAAAAGGCGATTAAAGATGCCGCTGTCAATTAACGAATGAAAGTTTAATCGCACTATGTATAAACCGCGAATGGAAGGAATTACTGAAGATTTTCTTCCCTGTGGCGTATAATCAAATTAAGTGTGACTCTTCGGTTTAAATCCCGTCACTCATTTAAAAAGTAATTTTTAGTTTCACTGAAGATTGTCTCCGTTAACCGTTCTTCATTAGCAAATTGGCCAGCAGAGGTCGGCATCCCTCATTAAAGATACACCGTGCGGCGTATACCGAAAAGTTTTCGAACTAATTTGCCGTAACTTCCTCTCATAAAGGCTCTCTCCTTCCCTTATATTAAATAAAAATTTCAGTAATGGCATTCTTGTACAGCATCCAATTTGCGAAGATTACATTCCTCGCCAAAGGATCGAAGAAGGCTAACTATCAATAAGCTCGGAGGGACACTTCCTTTAATCGCGCATCTTCATTTCCAATTATTACTTTTATCGGAATTCTGATCTCGAGACGTTGGATTCACTGTTATTCTACGTCATACTACCAACGCTCCTTTATCTATATTAACACAAAATCGCCGACAATCGGCGCGTAATGGCTTAGCACATCTACGTTTTTATCTCTATTATGTACAAGGCGCAAAGGACGTTAAGTATAAAGGCACATATTCATTCCGCTGCAGAATTCGCTTACAAACATTACGAACGACGTTACACAAGATCGCAAACGTGCGTTTCACTCACATTTTTAACAAATAACTAATTAACACTACGAGCTCGAGCGTGCTCGAGACGAGGAGAGCCTCGGGTGATTGTTAGTGTATCTACTGTTTTGTCCGATGAAAAATCGCGGCCCGCGAATCTTGATTTAGGGATTGATCGTTTGTCGCGTCGTTGTTTGTACACATTTATTGGCGTGGCGAGAACTCGTTCGCTTTTCCAGCGCTTTTCCGCGCGGGCCGCAACAATATCGCGCATCTCGTACGATGCGCCATTACTAATTGCCGGCAAGCCTGCCGTTGTCATGTGTGCGTGTTTGCGTGTACTTCTCTCGGGCATCACAATCGGCGGGCGTGCACAATCGTATTATCGACTATTGATTTCGGAAGGCATCGATTTGTACCACTCGTCAATACCGTCCACGCGCGAAACGTATCGATTCCTTCCTTCGGTACAGCTCGGCGCAAAGCGAATAGCGACACGCATCGTCGCGAAAATTCGATCATTTTTTCCGTTTGAATAATTACTCGGATTACACATGATCGTTTTCTTAGATTTCTCTTAATATTATTAGGTATCTTATTGCATTCTTTACGTTTGAGCTGCTGGGTAAAACAGTAATAAATTGTGCAAGGAATGATTTTGCGCGCTAAAATATCTAAAGATTTAGTTAAATACAGATTTGAAAGTAATTTGACTTTGGACCAAAATAATTATACAGAAACGATGATGCAAAAAGTTTTAACACTCTAGCAACCAGTTAGAACGTTCTACGTAATTATTTTGATAGTCCAAGATGAAACTATTTCCAGATCTAAATTTTTAGACACTTCAATCAAATCGTTCTTTCCATGTAATAATTTTTTTAATCCATGAACAGAGTACAATCTCGTTTTCTCTTTTTAATGTTACATTGCAATAATTATATTTAGGAAATATAATATATATATAATGTACAAATATAATTTTTTCTCTTCTACAATCACAATCTATATTATTGTTTCATCCAACGGCTCTTGGAATAATATTAACAAGCTAACAGTAGTCTCATTCAACTAGTCTTTTGTGTGTTTACAATCTGTATTATGTTTACAATGACGCATTAACAATATTTTGGCGATACTGGACTATTTATGTAGGCATATTTAATATATTTAAAGACTTGTTTCTTGACGGAGACTCCGACAAGAAAACAATTAAAGCGCAGTTGAATTCTTTGCATTGAGAACACTGCTCATAGTCTCCGTTTAATTTAACGGAAAAAAGAGTTTTGCTGAAGTATCTAAAATTCAGGTAGATATAGATCTGAAAATAATTTTATTGGACCATCAAAATAATAGAACGCTTCAAACATTGACGATAATGCTGTAAAAAATTTTAACATTCTAGTAATCAATTTAACCATCCAACGACAACTTTAACTTTTCCGTCAGCAAAGGATCTTTGAGAAACAGGGCAAATTTTTTATTGTTACGAATTATATTATATATGTAGAATTAGATTATATAAAAATAAAAAAAATTTTATACTTGTCAAAGCTTTAATAACCATTATAACTTTTTAACCATCATAAAAAGTCGGATTATATTTTACTTATTTTCACAACTTTATCTACCAAAATTGACAATCAAAATATCAATGGCCTTTAAAAACTCCAATTATTGGAGGGTAAAGCGTTCTATATAATTATTTTGATAATCCAAACAAAATTACATTCTGTATCTAGCTCTAAATTTTTAAATATTTTATCAAAACCATTCTATCCGTGTAGATTGAGAAATACATATTGACAAATTCAGTTTACAAAACGTCACTATCCAGAATAACAACCACAATGTCCATCAGATAGATTATAGTGCGATCGAAGCGTCCACCGGAGTCGTGTTTGAGTTTGATAATCTATCATGGAGCACTCGGTTGATTTTCCCGCAGGTGTGTCAGTGGCACGTATTGCTTGTGGTGGTTCTCCGTGGTGGTACTTCCGTCTAACGATCAACTTCCGAGGCTTCTTATCCATTGACGAGGCGGGAAATAGAAAGAAAGAGGGAGAGAGAAAGGACGCCTGTCGACGAGAGACATTCGTAAAGCACCGATCGAAAGAGGAGACTGAGGGCGCTTTGGCTCTTTCGCAGTCTAGAGCAGGATCTCATCAACGATTAAGAACCGCATCGAAGGTGCAGGACGCTTTTCTGCGTCAGGCAATTCCTTCCGTCAGAAGGGAAGGCTGATCACATCACAGACGGAAGTCGCTCCACCTTCGGTTTCTCTTTTATTGACGCAGCGGTGCTCATCATGACGAACGTATCCATTCCTTCATTCCCTCCTGTTCTGGAATGGAAGGAACGTTCTTTGCCTTCGACGAAGATCGTTTCGATATTCATTGGGCAAAGATTTATCCACCGGTAATTTCCCCAGAACGCTCGTCGCACGATTCAGCGGCTCGAGTGTGCTATCGTCGACGGCAGTCCTGCGATGCTCTTGCGACGACCTTTCGCAGAATTCACGATTGTCACAGATAATCGCGCCGTCGTGTTCTTCTCGCGATTGTCAGATGCTCTCGTCTCCTCGTTTCCTTTGAAAGTTCCGTAATCGTGACAGGGCCCGGGCATCCCACGCTAGCTTCTATTGATCGATGGAATAGTTAAGTAACTGCGATTGCTTCCGCATGTTGGAGAAAGATACGAAGATCCGAGTTACGGATTTATTAAAGAGACAAAATTTTCTGTATGTATCCGGAGACTCATGAGATATTTTTTTGAGGCGTCGGTAATCTCGCAACGTTTTTACGATTCCTATATCGCGAGGAAAGCACTTTCCTTCTAGGACGATGATCGTGTTTTTTCCTATTTCTTTCTTTTCGTTTCGAGACGAGTATCGCGTGCCTTTCGTCCGCCCTCTTCATTTCCTACGTACGAATATATTCTCCAGAAGCTCCTTCGTGATCAGTCGATGAGGTCTCGTCGGGCTCTCGGTGGGCATACCGTAAAGTCGACTGTTGATGGCGTAGAGCTTCGGGCTGAGCTCGCACCTTACGTTGAACCACCAGTCGCAGACGAAGACCGCCTGGCTGAATTGCGTGCCGTTCGGACAGAGAAACGTTGCTTGTCGGCCGTCTATGTCGCAATAATGCCATGCCTGGCATCTCGTCTCTACGTCGGCGAAGAAGCCGGGGAAAGACTGGTCGTCGCAATAGAAATTCGTGTAAGGTACCTTTCCCAGCACTGGATAATCCGTTCCTGGTCGACCTGCAATTGCATTGAGTATCGTAAGTCCTTCTATTTCTAATGTGATTGATGCAGATACTTTAAAAGTGGTTCAACAGCACGCTATTAAATTGACAGAACTAAAATATATATATATATATATATAATATTACTGTATATATTTTTTTAATATTAATGAGGATATTTGCTGAATTGAAATAATAATTAATATTTTAACCGTGCAGTCTTTTGAGTATGTTTCATCGTTCTCCTTGATATCAACCGTACATTCGAGATCCTAAATAATTTACAAATTATTCCGGCTGTAATTTCAGCACTCACGGATTCCCTTTACGTGAACCCACGAACGTATATAAAACGCCAAGCGATCTGGATGAGTTAGCTACTTAAATGAACGAATGCAAAGGGGTTAAACGACTCAGTGCAATCATAGTTCTTTGCCTTTTCTCTATTTCCATTTTCATCTCTTCGTTTGCAGCCGCAACCATTCGAATTTCATCGGAAAATCGCAATTTCTCGCATAGCTTTATCGGACAATGGTGCGATCGGAAACTAAAATAGAATATTTGTTTAAATAAAACGTTGAAAGGTAAAAGAAAAAGCAAATTAAAATGTAAAAATGTATAGTCTTTTTTTTAATAGGTCATATTTATATAATTTTGTGCTTGTGTTAAAAAAAATTGCACTTGAAATAATTGTTATCTGTACATGGAAAAAACTATTTTGCTGAAGTATCTAAAATGCAGATTCGAAAATAATTCGGTTGGATTAAAATAATTATATAGACTCAAACTAGAGTTGCTAGAATATCGAAATTTTTTGTAACATTGTTCATCTTTTGCTTGAGTTTCTTATATAATTATTTTGATGGTTCAATAAAATTATTTTCAGATTTGTATTTTAAATTTTTAGATACTTTAGTAAAATCATTCTTTTTGTATAAATTTAGTTTTATGAATGATACTTCATGCTGGATGTGAAGATAAAAAATTCCATTTTTCTAACTTTGTTAAAATTCTCTATATATTTGGAATTCTTTCCCGAAATTAAAATCGAAATATCTTCAATGTAATATCGTCAAACATAAGTAAATAATCTAAAATTGCAAAGAAAATGATGTCTCGACTAAAGGAAGTGAAAACAAAGGATAAACAATTCAAAGCTATTCGCGTTGTGGTTGGAACTCCGTTGTTCGAAGGTACTGTTAAAGTAATCCGAGAAAGTACACTGTTAAATTCATAATGTCTAATTATATCTCTCTAATTTGAGTTATTATTAATTATTTCTATAGGTCGCCACTGCTCAATATGTCATTATTTTAGCTAAAACAATGGAGAGATTTTAGCTTAAACAATTTAACTCAAGAAAATGTATTAAATTTGACTCAAATTCAGTTTATTATTTATTGAATGCATATATTAATATTAGAGGTGTGCGGGATCTCGAAAATTCTCGAAACCAGATGCTTAGGACAGGATGGGAAGACGCGGATCGGGTCGAAACGGGATCCTGAAAATATTCGGGTTTCCCGAGAATCTTCGGGATATCTGATACTGTACAGAATCTTTTAATATTGTTTTTCCATCAATCTATATTAGTATTTCCTGGAAAAAGAGATATTTTCAGAAATCCCGAACATTCTCGGGAATCTCAAAAATTTCAAAATCCCGTCCCGATCCCGAAAAAAAAAACATTCCCATTCCCGACTCGATCTTACACACCTCTAATTAATATGGACGTCGTTTACTTTAAAACTAATCACACAGAAGTGGATTGATTTATATTTTTACTTTTTAAAACTTTTAGAGTGAATTGTCAATTTGAAAAATAAAATTTTACTTTTAAGGAATGAAAATTGAGTCACTCTTTTTAAAAACTGGCTCAATTTTCACTCTTTAGAGTGAGATTCCACTCCAAAGGATCTAGAGAGTACACACATGAAAGTTAAAATAACAAAATGTTATTTAACTTAAGGGATTTGGTTACCATTGCTCCTTTGATATCTAACGATGCCTCTTGGGGTTTTCCACCTACATCCCCACTTTTCTGTCCTCGCCATCTATTTTCCTGTTGATACGAGGCTTGGCGGAAAACGAAATAATTAGACCAGCACGATGCACGGGCACACCTTTGAAAGGGGTGAATAGCTCGAGAACGAGAATACGTTCGACGCGGTGTTGTCATAGATTCTGCTGAAGTTATAATTACGCGGACCCAACCACGAACCGGGATGAGGATGAGAGAGAAGTAGAGAGAAGGAGGAGAGAGAGGAAGAGGAAGGAGACAGGACAGATGAGGATAGTTTAGTGAGCGGAAGCGAGACGACGAGCGTTTATTCCATGCGGGTACGCAGAATCTCTTCCGCTAACGAAACAGATCGAACAAGCGGTGCAAGGTGTGAATTTCGTATGGATGTCGGTGCGACACGGTCGAGTTTATGCGACCGCGTCGCCAGGTGCACGTTCTGTATACGTTCCAGGAGTGTTACGCGTACAGACCGGTCCATTCGTCGTCTGTATTGCATCGCATCACATCGGCGTCACGTCGCATCGGTATTCCTGCAGGCGAAATGAAACCTGGCCAATCCGCTGTTTTCAGCCAACTTGAACGACTTTCGAGTGAAATTGAGACGCGAGAATTTCTCGACTTATATGCGAAGCTTAACGATAGAGATAACGCGTTACCGGACAATAATTAGAATGCTAAAAACATTAGAATTTTTATAAAGAAATGTTAGTATATTTTTTTTAAATTCTTATAAAGAAGTGAATTGAAATCTGGTTATTTAACAGAACTTTATGCTTCTATCTTTTGAAACGATCAATTTTAATTAACTTACTGAAACGTATAGATGATTTAATCTTGGTGGATGTAAATAATTCCACGTACGTGAAATATCATTTGCTAGGATGTTTAAAGAATTTACACATTTTATCATTAAATATTTAATTAAATGTTTTCATTTTAGAAGATTATAGTCAAAGCATGTTTTTCAGAATTGACATGAAGATAGTTCCGTTACATCTACTATGAGAATCTAACTACTTCATCTTATATAGTTTCTCTTCCTCCGAGAAATATCTTCGTTATTCCGTCTTTGTCGCACGTTCTCATGAACGACAGTATTTCTGCTTGACGAAACTAAGCTTGTCGCTTGATGAGATTCGAATAGTTGGACCGACAGAGATGCAAATAGAGAGAGAGAGAGAGAGAGAGAGAGAGAGAGAGAGAGAGAGATTGGTGAAGAAGAGACCAGAGGAATGGAGTTGTTCGAGAACCGGGAACACGACGGACTGCTGTATCGTTTAAATAGGGATGCTCGAAACAAATCCAGCCCTGTAATATTGCTAAGAAACTTTGTTGCACCACTGAAATTACGGGGTGATTACGTATGTATTGTGAATTTTGACAGTAGGTATTAATTCGTAATATACCGTCGTGTAAAACGTGGAAACTAATGAAATAGAATTGCTGTCTTTCGTATTAATATTGTTTCAATTTACTATCTTCTTGATAATAGGTAATGCTCGTTATAACTTATAATGTTAAAAATTTGCATTATACAGGGTGTTTTTGAAGCGAAATAACAGAGGCAATAATCAAATTATTTTTTATAAGAGAGATGTAATTAATTAATTATATCTGTTCTCTCTCAAGCAGGAATTACTTTGTGAAATTTTTCGACAGTAGCGATGTAATCTGTTACATTTAGAAAAGATGATATTTTTTTTATTCTTACATCTAGAATGTAATCTCTCGCGGAGCTAACGGAACTTTCATAATAAACGTCGACCTCATTTTTAATTCTCTTCGCCAATCAGAGAAATATGCTGGTTCGCCACCTTGGTATTTGTTATTCGAATATTTCTTGGTATTACTTTAAGAGAACCGTGCGAGCTCAGCGATTCCATTCTTGCGCGAATTTTACGCGTTGGCACGCGACCAACGTTTCTCCGCGCGACGACGAGACCGGTCTTGTTATCTTTCCCGTTGAGAGATCAGTATACTCTCTTCTCGCGTGTAATCTTATAAAAGTCCAACGTCTTCTTCTCTTTTGGAAGTAAAACAAGAATCTTTAAAATCAAGGACTCGGACGTGCACCGCACCGTCGCGAAGCTATACATCGCCAAACGTCGCTTCCGGGAAGATCCATGGCGGTTTTCTGGCTCCGCGCTTTATTTAACTTTTCCATGGTTCTTTTTACCCGCATCTCTTTCGGCTGTCTGAACTATTTCTAAATTAAGATCGAATCACGAAAACCGTACACGAAAAGAACAGTTTTGCTAAAATATCTAAAAATTAAGCTGTAGTTTAGATCTGAAGGTAAATTTTGTTGGACTTAAATCAAATAATATTATGAAGGATTACGTTCAAGCTAGTTGCTAATGGTCAAAGCTTTTTGTAACATTGTTTTTTTTTATCGTGCTTGAATTATACAGAATTATATGGTTTAGCAAAATTATTTTTAAATCTATACGTACCTAAATTTTTAGATACTTCAGCGAAATCTTTCTTTTCGTATATCTCTTATGAGAAAGTGTTGCTCAATAAAATGCTTGAAAATATTTTTAGTACGGAATATTTTTGTTTAAAAAAATACATACAAATCTTTTAACGCACAATATATATAAGCATCTTATAAGAATATTAATAATTTTGATATTAATAAGAAAATAGTATAGTTTTTATATATTTTAGATGATATGCGATCATTGTGTTTTCATACGTATAACAATCATTTCGCTTTGTTACTTATTGTACTCCACTGTTCGGCGTTGCGATCCCCTTTTGCGATTCGAATTGCACGAGCGCGTATCGCAAAGTCGATATTCCTTCCGCGACGAATCGCAAGTTCCCTCGGATGTATCAGGAGAGACGCGATGAAAAGTTCACGTAGAGACTTGGATCGCACCGGGAAACTTCTGTCTCGAATTATTGAGGCAGAATAAATAAGCAAAACGGGACGTACACGAATCAAGGAATCCCCTCTCCCCTTTCCTTCATCCTTTCCTTTCCGACTT